TTGGTGCTCACCAAATGAGAACAGAAGAATGTGAAAATTAAGAGTCAAGCTAAATGTTGTATTCTGTCCCTGATTCTTTGGGAAAGGTTATCACACTTCTGTTGGGGGTTAACACACTTCAGTTATACAAAGGCTAGGGCATGTTTAGGCCTTCACTTGTTCTCTTCTCTATCCTTCCCCATTTTTTTCTTTCTAGTTTTCATGGTTGTTCCGTGTTTAAAACAATAGAAGAAATTGTAAAATGTTCTGAGCTATNAATTTTTTTCTTTCTAGTTTTCATGGTTGTTCCGTGTTTAAAACAATAGAATTATTTTTAAAATGTTCTGAGCTATCAAAAAACCATCTCAAAAGCTGATGCCAGTATAAAAAAGGTCCAGAAAAAGCAAGATTATGGAGCGCACGCCTCCTTTCCTGAGGCTTATGCAATAGGCGTGTGATTATGTCTAGGCATAAGCCTTGACAAATAGCACCCTAGGCATTAGCTTCTAGGCTCTTAATTAAGGCCTTTCATGAGGTGCGCTTGAAAGTGTAAGCTTCAGGTCCTTGGAAAGCAAGGAGCTTGCAAGTAAGGGGAGGGTACAGATGGAAGCTTTTGTTAGTTTATTATCTTTTTAGTTGAAATATAAAATTTGAAATTTATGAAGATAATGTTCAACTTTTCAGGTTCATACATAGTTATCAGAGCTACTTGTGGAACCATGCCGCAAGCACGAGAGTACAAAAGTACGGTATGTAGTTTTCCTCGGTTTCTGTTTTAGGCTTTTAAGGTCATTCTCTTTTTCTGAAATTGTTGCCAACGGAACTTGGTTTAATAATGGAGCTCGGCCACACCGTTCATCTCTTTGATGTAACTGATTATGCAGGTTTTAACCAGGTTATCTTGGGTGATTTGGTATACTGCAAAGAACAAGATACTAAGAATGAAACAAGATCTGTGAAACTGGAATTTGAAGATGGTAGTAGCAATGAGGTCGACATTAATGGTCATTTTGATGATATATCTGTAACTGAGCTTCCTGCAGAGCAAAGTAT